TCTTCGATACCACACCCATGGCTTCTTCTTCGGGCGATGGCGACAAACGACTTCCGGGTATTCCCGTCCGGCAATTGTTTAAACAGCATCGGATTCACAGCCCGCTTCATGAAATGGATGGGCTTGAAGACGATGGAGCAAGGGGTGGAGGACAAGGAGGAGTTGGGGCGTCAACGGGGGAGATCACCATGAGCGCAATCGAAAGCATGTTCAAGCAGTACCTGCAGCCTCTTCAGCAAGACATTCCAGCTAAAAAACCTACGGCGTGTCACGTGATGAGCTCCAACAAAGCCTGGATCCGATCAAACAGGATATGCAGATGCTGACCGCCCGGATCGACTCTCTTGAACAAAGTGGTACCAGGTCGCCATCGGCAGCTTCAGGAGCAGCGGCAAGCATCACAACGGAGATTGAGCATAAGATTTCGGAGCTGGAGAAGCAACTCGCGCACATGATGGGGAATACCCGGGAATGCAATGCGGTCATTGGTGGTTTGGGTGACTTCGGGGATTTCGACACGGCGGTGCAAGTCATCAAACAGCAAGTGAATCGCTATACTCTCCCAGAGCCTGTCGACTATTTCATGAAAGGCGAATTCAGCACGATTATTTTCACAAAGTCCGGCACCACGGATGCACGGGACAGGTTTGTGAACGTCTTCGGCAGGTCGCAGATTAAGCATAACAGCAATAATGTTTGGACGCAAGCCGACCAGCCCATCGAGAAACGCGTGCCCGAGAGCTTTCTGTTCGGCCTGCGCAAACACTTCTTGGAATGGGGTACTCGAAAGAAGAAGTGCTCGTGGACACAACAGAGTGCAAGCTCACGATTGCGAAGGACCCGGTGGTGACAGTCAAGATTATGAACAATGCTATTCAGATATCTTGGAAAGGGTCTTGGGCAAATTGGGAGAATCTTACCAACAGTCAGGAAGTGCATCACCTCACCACTCGAGCAAATGATGCTTTAGGCCGCGCTGCCAAGGGGAGTGGGAAGGGGAAGAAGGGAGGTAGAACGGAGTAGGGACTCGCACGGCGCATTGGCACTATCACCACAGCTAGAATGGGCAAATGGGTAACTTATCCATGTTGGCCCGTATCTTGCGGCAGGATTGCCTCGTGGAATGTCGAAGGCATCAACTTGGACCAGCCGCACAAGCTGTACGAGATAATTAATGACATGCGGGATCTGGATATTGCGGTGCTCTCTCTCCAAGAGACGCACTGCCGAGGGTCGCCGGTCTTTGATTTTGAAGGCTTTTCCATCATACTTTCGGGGCAAGAAGAAGACGCACGAGAATACGCAGGAGTCGGTTTTATTATATCACCATGGGCTAAGCATGGCATCAAGGGCTACATACAAAAAATAGTCAAACGGCAAGTTTAAGGCTACGTGTTTCTGGTGGGATTATGACGGTAATCACAGCATACGCGTGGACCAATCAGCACGATTATGAACTACGGCGCGACTACTATACATATTTGGCTGCATTTACACATAGTTGCCGGTCCCATGGGCCAACATATATACTTGGTGATTTCAACGCCCGGCTATTGGAACAATACGGTGGCGAAGATGACGTTTTAGGAGAACATGTTTTCCATAATCACATCTCTGCTTGGAACCCAACGTCAAATCGGGAGCTACTTTTGGAATTGTGCCACACTCTCGAAGCGTGCGTTGCGAAGACGTACTTTCGACAAGATGTTGAGCACACCGTGACGTATCACGACATCGGCGTACATCCATCACGTGACACTGTGCCAGGGGATTTTGAGCAGCTGGACCACGTTGTCGTAGAGACCGCATGGTTTTCGACCATTGCTGACATTTGGAGCGATCGCAGCCTCTCTCTCCAATCGCACCATTTTGTGCTGATTGTGGATCTGAATATTACTATACCGGAAACCGGCCGCAAGGAACGGAAACCACGACCAGACCTGAAGGCGCTTGGGAACCAGAACGCAACAGCTGAGTATATTTCGCATTTCTTGGACAGGTCGCGAGACCATCATGCGCACGCAACTTTGGAAGAACACGCTGCGGCCTTATCCAGATGTATGTTGGAATCTGCGGCAGCAAGCCTACCCGTACAATCGGCACCGCGCCTACGTCCTTGGATACTTGATCGCACTATCCATTTCATCGAAGAGCGGAACCGGGCACGGCAAACAGGGGCTCGGGGAAAGAATCATTCCGAGCAGCACTTGAACAAGATGATCCGCAACTCTGCCAGGGCTGACCGAAAACAGTGGCTGACAGAAAGCATTGCGAATAACGGGTGGCAAGCTATCAAAGCACTGCGGAAAGGCCCTGCTCGAAAGTGCGGGCGACTTCAGGATGCAGAAGGACGGCTGGTAGATGCTTCTCAGCGGGCTGACGCTTTGGCGGATTATTTGGAACAGGTTCAGTGGCGCCCGCCACCAGACGCGGGAAACTTCACAAACGAGGCTGGCGAAGAAGGTTACTTATACGTGGAAGTGGGACCGATCACATCCGAAGAGGTCAAACGTGCAGTCAAAAATCTCCGGCTACAACGAGCAGCGGGTACAGACAGCGTGTCGCCTGAACTTTGGCAAGCATTATGGGAAAGCGAAGCCGCTCTAGACGTACTGACGTCACTTGTGGCTGCTTGTTGGGACAAGAAAGACATACCGGACAAATGGCGAGAGGCTTCAGTTGTCACCATTTTTAAAAAAGGCGACACCTCTTTACCATCAAATTATCGACCCATCTCTCTACTGACAATTGGGTACAAAGTTCTAGCTGGCATCCTTCTCAACAGGCTGCAACAAGGAGGCGCAGAAAAAACTCTAAGGGAGTCGCAATATGGTTTCAGGCCTCAGCGTGGCACCGGCGACGCATTATTTCTCGCACGAAGGCTGATCGACGCCACACTGGAAGACAAAGACGGTAAACTGTTACTTTTGTTATTGGACTGGAGCAAAGCATTTGACCGTATCAACCCCGCAGGTCTCGTACATGCGCTGCAAGAGTTTCGAGTCCCACCAGCAATGGTCGAGATGATCCAGGGTATCTACAGGACGCGGAAATTCGTTGTGCAAGACGGGGGCACGGTGACGTCGCAGAGGACGCAAGCAGCCGGTAATGCTCAAGGGTGCCCGTTGTCACCTTACCTGTTCATCATCGTTATGTCAATCCTGCTGGGAACGGTGGACAAACGTCTGGAGGCAGAGAATTCCAACAGGCCAACCAGACCGTATTTGATCACAGCGGACATCCTGTACGCAGATGACACCATGCTTATTGCCAGGGAGCCCGAAGTATTGCAAGCTCATCTCGATTTGGTAATCGACGTCGGGAAGAATTACGGCTTGGAGTTGAATGCAGGGAAGACCATACTGCTCAAGATACGATCAAATGGGGTTGTCCACGGACCAGATGGCAAAGATATAGCGTGCAGGGAAAGTGCCGTATATCTAGGTGGGTAACTAAGCGTGGATGGGAGACCAAGGGCGGAGCTAACGCGACGACTTGGAGAAGCCAGTGGCGCATTCAAGAAGCTACGCATTGTTTGGAACCACGCGAACTTAAGCAAACTGCACAAGCAGCGAGTCCTGGAAGCATGGGTATTCTCGAAGCTTATGTACGGGCTGGAATCATGTATGCTTTTACAAGCAGACCGGAATCGGCTCGATGGTTTTCAAGCGAGGTGCTTACGCCACATGTTCAAAATATTACCCGCTTACGTATCTCGCGTGAGCAATGCTGATGTTCGAGAGCGCGCACATGCCTGGCCGTTAACTGCAGTTCTTCTCGAACGACAACTCAAACTGTATGGTAAACTCGCCCAGGACAGCATCACCAGTTTACCGAGAGCCATGGTTTTTGAAAGTGGTCCTACGCATGATTTGCTGCCTCGGAGGTGGAACGTGGCCCGGTCGAGAGAGAGGCCCCGTTTGCAATGGGCAACTTACCTGCATGCTGAAGCGTAATCAGTGGCGCACGATGACCCAGACACGTTACAGACCCTGCTGCAAAATCCTTCAGACTGGCGTGAGGCTGTAGCTCGATATTGTGCCATATAGCTTTGATAGTCTTGCCCCGCCCTCCCCGTCCTCCCCCCCCTCCCCTCGCCCTCCTCTCCTTCCCTCCCGCCCTGTTTCACAAATTGCGCTGATAACCCTTCGCACCTCGTTGGAAACGAAGGCTACAACGACGGTTCCCCGAGGCACTGCGCAATCTTGCGTTTTTCTGCATGCCGGCACGCATATGATCAGCATTTTCAAAATGTTTGCCAATGCGCCGTCAGGGCGCGGCTTCTCTGTCTGTCTGTCTGATGAGGGCACGGAAAGACTCGGCAAGGCGAAACTCGGCCAGGCTGAACTCGGCCAGCTAAACTCGGCGAGGCTGTACCCGACCCCGGCCAAGCTCAGCCTGGCCGAGCTCAGCCTTGCCGAGCTCAGCCAGGCCGAGTCTCAGCCTGTTCCGAGCTCGGCCTGGCCGAACTCTTCCTGGCCGAGCTCGGCCTGGCCGAGTTTATCAGCTGGTCCGAGCTCAGCCTGGGCCGACTGTCGGCCTGGCCGACTGTCGGCCTGGCCGAGGTTCGGGCCTGGCCGAGCTCAGCCTGCTCCGAGCTCAGCCTGGCTGGTTTTTTGGTCCTGGCCGCCGCGCCTAAACCCCCGACGTCATAATTTTTGCATGGCGCGACCCCCAGGGGGCCAGGACCCATTCCCCGGGACCGGTTTTTCATCCCGTGTCTTTTTCTGACGGCCCCGAGGCCTGCTGAGGGCCCCCAGAGGCCGAACATAGCGAAAAACCTTCCGTCGTGACCTGTTCATAACCCAAGTGGTGGCGGCGGCGGCGGCTGCGACGGCGGCTGCGGCGGCGTCGTCGGCGGCATCGTCGTCAGCGTCGGCGTCGGCGTCGGCGTCGGCGTCGTCGTCGTCGTCGTCGTCGTCGGCGGCGGCGGCGGCGGGTGCACCGTCAGCGTCGCCGTCCTCGACGGCGGCGGCATCGGCGTCGCTGCCGAGGAGCACCGCTCCAGCGCGGGGGCCACCGGCCGGGGGAAGTCCGGCGGCTCGGGCGAGATCGCCGGGGGCGGCCGCGGCCGCGGCCGCTCGGCCGGGCGCGGGAGCCGCTCGCCGCAGGCCTCGTAGAGGGCGCGCAGGCGGTGCAGCGCGGGCTGCAGGCCGCAGAGCAGGAGGTGCTGCGAGGGGCAGCGACAGGGGGTCCCAGACCCTCCTCCTCCTCCTGTGGGCACTGTGGGTACATAGAGGCGCAGTCACACCACGTGCAACTACGCCTGGGGCCTGGCCCAGATTACAAACTCGAACAAAACTCCCCCAACGCGGACCCGCTGACCTGTTGGATGAGATGAATTCGGCAAGAGGTAGATGGGAGTCTGCCTGCCAGCAAGGCACGCTTCTCCTTACTCTTGCTGCTAGGCTCACACTTCGACCTCAGCTTCAAAGCCTTCTGGGTCCCAAATTTTCCGCAGCGGGAACAGAACAAAACTGGGAACCCAGACTCAACTACATACGCCAACTGTAGGGCGTGCGCGCTGGAACCCTCCCTGGCGCGCGGAGCGCGCCAGGGGCGGCGCCGGAGGCGCCGCCGAGGGGGGCCCAGCGCGGATCCGAGACATCTGTGAGGAGCCCCACAGGTTTATATGTATGGTGCCTCTCTCTTCTTCGAACCAGGGCACCCTCCCCCAGCCGACCTCGATCCTATACCTCGGCCCGATATGTGTGCCTACGCGGGCCAGGGGCTCTTTGTGTCCTCGCGGAAGCGAGGCTCTGGGGAGCCCGCCCGCCCCCGCCGCCGCCCCCCGGATGGCAGCACATGGGCTGCTCGGCGGCGCGGCGCAGGGCCGAGAGCACCGCCCACACGAGGGCGTGGTCGTACCTGGCCTGGGCCGCCGCCACGGACTCCACGAGCGCCTCGTCGGAGGGCGCAGAAGCACACCCTGCGAAATGCTTAAGAAACCATGGGTTAAGAAAAATTCATAGTCTCAGAAGTGGAATAAAACCCAACATGTCTATTAAAATCTTAGGACTCACATTGAAAAGTTAAGAATACTCGAGACTCTGGCCGAACACTTAGGTTTTCTTAAGCATCGCCTAAGGTGTACTGGGGGGCGAGCGAAGGGAAGCGAGGGGAAGACAGGTGCCCTCCTCGGGCCCCACCGGGGGGGGGCGGGGGGAAGGGTGCCCTTCTCGGGCCCTGGCGGCCCCCCCCTGTGGGCCCCGGAGGGCCCTCTGTCGGTGCCGTAAAGGGCCCCTTCTCTGCAGCCCTCGCTGCCACCCATTGTTACAGTAGAGGCCCGACCACAAGAAGTCTTCCACAAGAAGCCCAACCCTGAGACCCCAGGACGTGCATTGATTTTTGGTGTGGGAGCGTCACGCCCCCCTCAGCAAAACCACCGAAACCCAGGAAGCCTAGGGCACCCTGGAGGCAAGCAGGATGGTCCTTGGCATGGGCCTCCGCTGTCACTGTATCTAGGGGAACAAAAAGTGGCAACATAAAAACTCTGAGGTCCGCGCGGATTTCTCGCATCGGCGCTGGAGCCCCCAGGCGGCGCCTCCAGCGCCGCCCCTGGCGCGCTCCGCGCGCCAGGGAGGGGGGTCCAGTGCCGATCCGAGAAATCCGCGCGGACCTCAGAGTTTTTGTGTTTATGCAACTTTTTGTTTCCCTAGTATCGCCCCCACCAGTTACGCGCCTCCGAGCTTCGGAGGGCGGGCCACTTTCGGAGCACGGCGCCAGTCCCAAGACCTCCCAGCGCAGACCGACGTGTCTCGCCGCTCTCTCGGCCTCTGCTGGCCGCCGTCGGGCCCCGGGGCCATCAGAGAGCGACTCTCCCCCTCCCCCTCCTCCACCTCCTCCGCCTCCTCCTCCTCCTCCTCCTCCCTCCTCCTCCTCCTTCTCCACCTCCTCCCTCCTCCCCCCTCCTCCTCCTCCTCCTCCTCCTCCTCCTCCTCCTCCTCCTCCTCCTCCTCCTCCTCCTCCTCCTACCTTACGTGCCCAGGAGCGCGGGGCTTCACAATCGGAGGAGGAGGAGGAAGAGGAGGAGCGACTCGGGACGGGAACCGGGCCCCGCGGACAGGGTCGGGACTTCTGGGGACCGCACCTCGAACACATCGGCTGGGTCTGGCCCCGACGGGAGAGCGGCCGCTACCTCAATCCTTGACAGGCCTCCGCCACCGCGCCTGCAGCGGCCAGCGTGCGTCGGGCCACGTCGCTTCCCGCGGATCCGTGAGGAAGGCCCCCCGACGCAGCGAGCCCAAGATGCGTCCGTCGTTGTGGCCAGGTCCCTGCGCTTCTTGGCCTCCCAGCTGGAAAAATCGTCCCAGGCACAAAGCCTGGCGAAAGGGGGTCTACGGACCCTCTCCCCTCCCCCCTCCCCCCAGGGAGGAGGAGGAGGAGGAGGAGGAGGAGGAGGAGGAGGAGGAGGAGGAGGAGGTAACCTCTCCCTCCAGGCCGCCCGAGCGCCGTGGCGGAATCGCGCGGTAGCGCAACTGGAAGAATTCGTGTCCGCCCCCCTGCCGGGGACACCTCAGCCCCGCTGGCCGACCTGGCCCCCCCTCGCCCTCTGGGTGGGGATGCGCAGCTCACCCTGCCCCAGCGGCGGTGGGGACGATTCTGACGATGATCGATGATAGACTGGCCCCCCCCCCCAAAAAAAAACGAACAAACAACATCAACATTAACTTTCGAAGCTCCGCGCGGACCTCTTGGATCGGCGAAAGGACCCCCCTCCCTGGCGCGCAGAGCGCGCCAGGGGCAGAGGGGCCCAGCGGCGAGATCCCAAAAGTCCGCGCGGGCCTCCGAATGTCGATGTTTATGCGATGTCTGTTCCTCCTGCAGGGTCGTGCGGCGTCGTCCGGCGCATCTTCCTCGCGGACAGGGCCGAGCGGGACACGACCCCTTTCTGGCGCGGGCAAAGGGCGGCGCCAGAGGCGCCACCAGGTGGTCACAACGCCGATCCTAGAAATCCGCGCGGAACTCCGAACGCTTGTGCTTGTGCCGTGGTTTGGCCCTTTGGCAAAGTCGTGCAGCTAAATGTCGTGTTGCGTCTTCGGGGGGACCTTGTCTGTCCCGTCGCGCCGCGATACGCGTCGCATTCGCGTCGAATCCGTGTCGAGCACGTCGAATCCGTGTCGAATCCACGTCGAATCCGCGTCGGGTCTGCATCGAGCCCGCGTCAGGCCACAGGAACCGAGACCAACTTTGGGGACAGGCAAGGTCACCCGAAGATGCATCGTCAGGCTGGGTGGCCCCCGCGCCGATCCGAGAAGTCCGCGGTCTGTGGTGCCGTTGTTGCGTGCTCCTCGAGACGATATCTTGGATGCCTGAAGTGGGTACGCAAAAAAAGGGTACGATGACCAACAACAAGTGGCCCAAAACCGACAGCGTCCGCGGTTGGGCACGAGGGCTTCTGTCCCAAATGGACGACGTCCGTGGCGACACCAACGGCGAGTCCTGTTCGAAACGAACAGAAACTGATGTAGATCTGCGTACCCTCTCTTGCCGTACCCATTTCGACCGCACTTGGGAAGGCCACAAGGTACCCATACAGCTACTCCCCGGACCTCTCCCGGGGTGCTTTCTGACCAGGACTTCAAGGCGAATCCAACCGTGGCGACTAGGGCCTCTCAGGAGGCCCGTAAAAGAGGAAAACGGGCGAAGGGTAGCGGTATCGGTATCTGTTCCTCCTCCGATTTTCCGTACCCATTTCGATTGCACGGTAGCTTCGTGCGGTGTCGGCGCGCGCGCAGGTTTTTGACACCACGTCGATCGTTCAACCTTGAACCGATCGCGGCCCCGATTGTTCAAAGTTGAAACCCGTTGGGCCCAATGGGGTCACCGTGTCCCTAGTTGCGCGTTTTATTATGTTCGGCGATGATGGGCATTAAAAGGGGGGGAGGGGCCAGGGGGGGTATAATGTAACGCCTCCCCCCCCCGCCGTACGCACGGCGGCAGTGCCCGGAGCGCACTAGGGGGGGAGGGACGTTACGTTATAGGGGGGGAGGGGGGGCCGGGGGCTATGATGCTCATTATGCCCCAAGCAATGAAGAAACACGCTTTCGGTGCCTCCGCGTCGCAGAATTCAGCCTTGAACGCCGTCGCCAGCGTCGCCGGCGCGCCAACGCCACACGAACCTACCGTACCCATCTCGATCTTACGGGTATATGAGCTCTGGCAACACGCAAGAGCAACCCTGGGCAAGGGTGACCTTTGGTGCGCGGCTGAACGCGGGACGCGGGGTGGCCAAACCCAGGCGCGCAAGCCGCTGCTACCTTTTCGCATTCAGCGATCGGGGGACCCGAGTGGGCCCGCACCACAGGTCACTCCGGCGAAGGGTCACCCCTACGTGTGGTCGAGAGCTGCCCACCCCCCCTGGGGCCTCGGACGCCAGGGCAGCCTCGCCGATGAGCGTGCTCTGCACGACGTTCCTGCTGATCTGGGTCAGTACCTCCGGCTGGTCCTCCCGCGAGGTGGGCCTGTGCTGGTCTTCGGGCCCAGGGGCACACACGCACACACACAAACAAACACACACACACACACACACACGCAGAAATAGACACAAATAAACAGGATCCCCAACATTCTTGACTGTCTTCTGGATGTTCGTCTTCCCATCTGCTTCCCACCTTCCCCCATGTTTTGGCGGCGCACACACGGGGGTGGGGGGAGGTGGGAGGGCTTCTTAGAAGGAAGCTGCTTCTTATGAGGCGCCGGCCTTAGTACATCTATAGATAAGGCCCGCGCCTTCTAAGAAGCAGCGGTGCCTCGAAGGAGCCCTTCCCCCCTCCCCCCCACCCCCCTCCTGCGCGTGGCTGACCTCTGCTTCCCACCTTCTCCCCCGTTTCCCTGGGGATCGACGTGCACTTGTGTCTGTGCCTGCGTGTCCCTCCTGGGCTGGGCAGCCCCGCGAGCCCAGGCCAGGCCCCCATCGAGCCGCGGTGAAACGTCACGACGGCATGCCTTGTGCCGCTGCTGTCTCTGCCTCTGGGGGGCCCTTATAGCGGGCCTCGGGACCTTCAACAAAAACGACTCAGGATGAGAATCAGGTCGAGCATGTCCCCCTACAGGCGGATTTTGGACGAAAATTTAGAAATATTCCCAAACTGATCAAACATAATCAAACATGCTATAAAAATCGTCCCCAGACTATTTTCCGACTATGTTTGAATATACCCCCTAAAAAGGACAGGCCCGACTCAACTTTACGACGGCATGCTTTCCGCTGTTGTCTCTGCCTCTGGGGGCCCTCAAAACGAGCCTCGGGACCCTCCACAACGACTCAGGATGAGAATCGGCGACGAGCGAGGGGGGGAAATGAGAAGGAGAAGGCCTTCTCAGAAGGCGGCGGGACTTCTCAGAAGCCCTCGCGCCTTCCGAGAAGTTTCTTGTGTCTTCGGGGAAAGCTGGGACAACTTCTCGGAAGGCCAGGGGACTGCCCAACCTTCTGAGAAGACCTTCTCCTTCTCAATTCCCCCCCCCTTGCTCGCCGCCGAGAGAAACTTGTCCAGGGGAATGGGTCGAGAGCTCTGGGGTGTCGACGCCATGGACAAATCATGACGCCGGGGGTCTGGGAGGGCAGCTCAGATCACCGACCAGATCTTGAGTTCATGTTCCGTGGGGCGCCCTCCCGCGCTGTCCGATTTGGGCATGGACAGGATTTGAAACGCATTTGATTTGGGACGCATTTGGGGCCCGATTTGGATCGGACTCGCCTTCCACAAGGGAGACGAGATGAACGAGGAGGGGGAGTAGGACCAGGAAGAGCGAGGAGGAGCAGGAGGTAATTAGGGCCAAGCGCGGTCCAAGTGCTGCAGGACAAGCTCATTTCGATGTCACCGCCTAAGGCTTCCATGAACAGGCATCGAACCTGCACTGTTCAACCAGTGGTCTGTCCTCGGATTTCCCCCTCGGGGGCCAATATCGAGCACCGAGGCCGTCCTCAAACGTGGATCTGGGAGGGAAACCTGCCCCAGGCGGTCGGGTCGGGACCGCTGGGACCGCGGATTGAAAAGAAACAACAAAAAACATCGACGGGTGTCAGGGAACGCACAGAGCCTCCCCACAGGACCAGCTCTTCATCCTAGAGGGCGCTGTACTTTACAGACTCAAGCAAGTTTACTCGCATGGCATTTCAGCCCAGGGCTGAACCTAAACGGTGTGTTTCGTTTCCGTTTCGCTTTTCGCTCTTCCTCGTTTTGCCTTCGCTTCGCCTTGAATGCAAAACAACGTATCCAGCTGGGCCCGTTTCCCAGCCCCACCTTGGGATAACCCTCCCTCTACGAACCTCCGACATCTCCTCCGCCTTCAAAGACGGCGCTGGGCCAAAAAAGGCGTGCCAGTGAGTCCCGACATGCGTGAAATCCAAACTTCTGTTCGGGCCTCGGCTCGGCACCACCCCCACGCGCCCCCTTCATGCAAGCAGACTCGCCAGAGCCTCAAGAAAAACTGCATCCTGGGCCGCTCTTTGACGGTCCTGAGTCCCTGGGAGGGCCCAGGACACCGAAACCGCCGGCCAACGCCTCACCTGAAGACACGTTTCCCTCAGGGCCCGCTTGCTTCATTGGCGGCCTGTCGGCGAAGCCGGCGGACGAGCTCATGGACCAGCCCACGTTGATTCGCCCGCCGCCGAGCCCCAGCTTCTGGTGCCTCCTCATGGCCTCTCCGGCGCCCGACAGCATCACTTCTGCGAGCAAGTCTGCCAAGGCCAACTGGAGCGCCGGGTACTCGGTACCGCACATCGGGCTCGTGTCCCGCTCGGCCCTGTCCGAAAGGAAGATGCGCCGGACAAAGCCGATGAGGCCCAGTCGCACGACCCTGCCAAAGGAACCGAAAACAGCATGAGCGTACACGTTGGAAGTCCGCGCGGATTTCGTGGATCGCCACCAGTCTCGCGCTCCGCGCGCCTGGGTGGGGGCTTCCGCACCGATCCAAGAAGTCCGCGCGGAGCTCCGACAATTCATGGTTGTGTAATCTTCTATTCGTTATTCATTTATTATTCATTTTTCAATCATCGTCGGCGCCGTCCCCACCCTCGCCAGGACAGGGTCAATTAGCGTGCCAACGTGCCCCCTCCAGGTGGGGATCGGTACCGCGCAGACCGAGGGAAGGCGACTCCGATCCAGGACACCCGCGCGGAGTCTCAAGAGTTTTTCCCAACCACTCCTTGGTGTTGGGTCCTCGTTTTGAAGACACGGTCCCAACGTTCTCCTTCCTTCCTTCCTTATTTCCTTCCCCCTCCCCCTCTCCTCCCGCTCCTCCTTCCTCCCGTCACCCCCCTCACTTTGGCACACCCCTCACACGTTTCGTGGCCCCAGACGGAGCTTCACCGAAGGCACCCCTCACTCGTTTTGTGGCCCCATAGGGAGCTCCGCCGAAGGCCCCAGTGCCACCATCCACATGCGTCCCCCACACCCATTTCGGCACACCCCTCACACGTTTCGTGGCCCCATAGGGAGCTCCACCGAAGGCCCCAGTGCCACAGTCCACATGCGACCCCCACACCCATTTCGGCACACCCCTCACTCGTTTCGTGGCCCCATAAGGAGCTCCACCGAAGCCCCCAGTGCCACCGACCACATGCGACCCCCACACCTATTTCGGCACACCCCTCACACGTTCCGTGGCCCCATAAGGAGCTCCACCGAAGCCCCCAGTGCCACCGACCACATGCGACCCCCACACCTATTTCGGCACACCCCTCACACGTTTCGTGGCCCCATAGGAAGCTCCATCGAAGGCCCCAAAGCCACCGTCCACGTGCGTCCGCTGCACCCATTACGGCACACCCCTCACACGTTTCGTGGCCCCACAGGGAGCTCCACCGAAGGCCCCAGTGCCACCGTCCACATGCGTCCCCCACACCTGTTTCGGCACACCCCTCACACTTTTCGTGGTCCCATGAGGAGCTCCACCGAAGGCCCTAGTGCCACCGTCCACATGCGACCCCCACACCCATTTCGGCACCCCCCTCACACGTTTCGTGGCCCCAGACGGAGCTTCACCGAAGGCTCCAGTGCCACCGACCACATGCGTCCCCCACACCCATTTCGGCACACCCCTCACACGTTTCGTGGCCCCATAGGAAGCTCCACCGAAGGCCCCAGTGCCACCGACCACATGCTTCCCCCACACCTGTTTCGGTACACCCACCACACGTTTCGTGGCCCCAAAGGGAGCTCCACCAAAAGCCCCAGTGCCACCGCCCGCATGCGCCCCCACACCCGTTTCGGCCCCCCCCCCATGGGGAGCTCCACCGAAGGCCCCAGTGCCACCGTCCACGTGCGTTCCCCACACCCATTTCGGCACATCTCTCACACGTTTCGTGGCCCCATAGAGAGCTCCACCGAAGGCCCCGGTGCCACTGTCCACATGCGTCCCCCACACCCAGTTCGGCACCCCCCTCACACGTTTCGGGGCCCCATAGGGAGTGCTACCGCAGAAGCTATTCACAATTGCGGTACGCACATCTGCAGATGATTGGGTCCTTCGCCAGGCTAGATTTGGTGCCTCGGCCTGCGGCACGCCTCCCAATCGCCCGTGATCGTGCGCGCGAGCGCCCGGACGCAGACGGTCAGCGTCGGGTCCGACAGCCTCTCGTTCCAATCCTCGCGCGTCGGCTTGGCGTGCTGCCTGATGATGCCCACCAGCTGCGACAGCGGGTCGTCCTCGGAACCGGCGCCCGCCTGCCGCTCCGCGAGGGCACCGAAGAGGGACAGCATCTTGTCCTCGAGGGGAAGCGAGCGACGGCGACGCCACTGACAGAAACTCTCGGAAGTCTGCGCGGACTTCCTGGATCGGCGCTGGTGATGGGCTTGTTTTCCACCACCACCACCATAAGCAGGAGGAAGAGGAGGAGGAGAAGGAGGAGGAGGAGGAGGAGGAGGAGAGGAAGAGGAGGAGGAGGAGGAGGAGGACCCCCTCCCCCTCCAACTTATGGTGGTGGTGGTGGAAAACAAGCCCATCAGCTGGACCCCGGGCCAGCCGGCGGAGCGTACCGAAGCCGGCGCCCGGGAGGCGCTGCCACGGGGGGCGTGCGGGGGGGATACCTGGCGCCGACCCTACAAAAAGCCGCGCGGAGCTGCGAGGATGTGTGCGTACGTTGTCTTTTCTGCTTCGGTCCTCGTTCGCCTGCTTCCGGGTGGTGGTCCTCCTCTTCGACGCCATCCGCACGCGGGACTTGGACCCCATGCGCGCGACAAGGGCCCCGATGGCATCCCCTCTGGCGTCGCCTGCGTCGGGGGAGCACATGCGCGGGTCCTTCAGATCGCTGCGCACCCGCATGTTGCGCAGGAGCTCCGACACGTTCGCCACGTTGGCTTCATCATCGCCGTCCAGCATGCCCGACGCCCGTGCCTCCGCCAAAGCCGCGTCGAAGGTGAGCACATGGCCCGCATGCAGCCTCTTCCTGGGGAGCGGAGAGAGCAGTCGAGTCAGCGCCAGGCTCCGAGGGACCGAGGGAGTTACTTGACTTGAGCGTCACTGGAGCCGCCCGAGCCCTGATATGACGAATCGACCGTGTCGCTGCCGCCTCAGGGCCACGACGAATCAGGTTAGTATTGTCGGGGTTCTCGGCCACTACCTGAAGGGACTCGGCCGACCCGAACGCTGACCATGAGCATCGTTTCGCCGAGCCCTATTCCCACTGGAATGGTCTTGGTTATAACTGGCCGGCTTAATCCCTGGGTGGGGATACATGATCCCGGGCCGAGTGTTCACACACACACACACACACCCGAGATGAGATGGGTCCTGGGGTTCACATGCCCACCCCCTTCATGGGATGGAGGAGGGACGACGACGACGACCACCACCACCACGACTTTGACGACGACGACGAAAACGACGACTACGACGACGCCGACGCCGACGACGGCGACGGCAGAAGACGATGACGACGACGACGATGACATGACGACTTTGACGACGACAACTTTGACGACGACGACGACCACGACCACGACGACGACGACGTGCTACAGAAAGGGCGACCCCCGCCGCATGTCGATATCGTTCTAACGCCCTTGCGCGCGTGCGGGGGGGGGGGCACGATCCCTTTCTAATAATACCATGCGGGCCACTCACGCGCGTCGGCGGCGCCCGACGCGAAGACACCGTCATCATCATCGGCGTGATCAGCATCGTCGCCGTCATTGGCCCCACCATCGTCACCGTCATCATCCCCACCACCATCGCTAATATCATCGTCGTGTCTACAGTTGCCGACGTCGCCATGACACCACACCCGCCAAGGTCACCGACTCGCATTGAAGTGCGCACTGGAAAATGCCCAGCGGTCAGCGCCATCGCGGCCGCATCGGTCGCGCCAGACTAGCTGGCCGCCGTGCGCGCGAGCGTGCACAGGCTAACGCGGCCGTGGAGATGCATTCATCGCAATCGCCGCCCCATGGGTCTTGCAAAACAAGATGCGGGTGGGTGTGTGGGATGATTGCGCGGGCATAGGATTTGTCAGCCCCAACTTTAAGAAGTAATTGTGCCACCTGGACTGCACCACAGCTTGCACAGCAGATGGTGAACTGCATAGAACTGCACCACAAGAATTGCACAACATAGGACGCTCAACGTAGACTGCGCACCGTAGGTTGCATAACCTAAATTGTACCGCTGAGATTGCACAACATCGATTGCTAGAAACATTGTTTAGGATCACCGCTACCTAACACATGCGTAATTACGTGTATATAGATGTGTACTCCACATCCCTTATTAAGCGGCCCCCGGGGCCGGTATATTAAGGGGCCTTTTTTCAATGGGAGGGGGGGGCCGGGATATTAAGGCGGTTTCGCATGACCGAAGCGAAAGGGGAGCCGGAGAATTATGGCGTTTGTTGAATGACCATCTTGGGCAAGAGGTTTGAAACTGACCTTCAGGATGGCTCCTAATAAACTGAAAATATGTTTCAATACCGCAGTCGTCGGCGATCATGATGACGGTGGTGACCTCACTTGTGAACGCGACGGTGATGTTAATGATGATTCTGGTGACAGCGGTGAATGTAATGATGGTGATGATGATGACGACGACGATGGTGATGATGATGGCGCCCCACTGTTCGGCTCTTCGTTCCACGGTGGTTGTAACCACCGTTGGGGCCGCCACCGCAATCGCAGCCATACTATATATGTGTGTGGCGTATATGTATTTATATACGTATACATATATATATATATAAACATATGGCGCCTCTGCCACAACATCACGTGCACGATCATGGCGTTCATCGTATTTATCATAATTGTTGTCGACGTCGCAAACCGACACGACAGAGTTCTGATCACCAATGCAGTCACCACTTTGTAACCACAGCCCCACCACGTCCACCAGCTTAACTACAACGCTCAACTTCCCCAGAGAGAAAACCGAAATATTAAGGCGCCTCCCGTGGAGGGGGGGCCAAAGTATTACTGTGCCGAAGCAGGGGGGGGTGGTATTTTAAGGGGGGGCCGTTTCATAAGGGATGTGGAGCACATGCGCAAAGAGTCCTCACACAATGCTTGCACCGCGAAGTGCTTACTTGTTTCTACGGAGCTGGGCCTGACCGCCGGTCCGGCGGCGACGTAATCGCCGTCGCCGCCGTGTCGTCGCCTCGTCGCCGCCCGTCGTCTGGGCTTGACGGCCGCTCCGGCGGCTATGTAGTCGCCGTCGCCGCCCCGTCGCCACCCCGCGTCTGGGCGCAGATGTCGGTCTGACGGCTGCGTTGTCGCCGTCGCCGCTCCGTCGCCGCCGTTGCATTGCACAACATAAGCTGCGTTGCGTTTCTTCGCGTTGCTTTGCGTTGCGCTGCGCTGCTTAAAGGTGTTTTGCAGTGGACTCCTGCCTTGCAAGATTTTGCATTGCGGATGCTGCGCCACATAGATTACACCACAAAAAATGCACGCAATACATCGCACGAAATTGGTTGCATCTCTTATCGTACACACCATCAATCGCACCATCTTTATTGCACAGCGTGGATTGCACCGCCGACTTTGCATCATAAATCCCCCCACCCACCCACCCACCCACACACAGGTTGCGCACAACGAATTACAAGACGTATACTGCACAATCCAGACGGCACCGCAGATAGTAAGCAACGTAGAAACGTAGACGGCACCGCACAGATTACACAATGCCGCGTTGCGCAATAGATCGGTTCAGTGAGAATTCTTGCACCAGATAGACTTCCACCATATATATATATATATATATATATATATATATATATATTGCACCGCGCAGGTTGCACAACACATAAAAAACACACGCCGATTGCTTAACATCGAGCGAGCGACGCAACTCGCACCGCGTGTATTGCCCCACCTAAACTGCGCAAGACTCTACCCCCCGCCCCCCCCCGGACTTATCAGCCCCCCCTGGGATTGTATAATTTCCTGTATATATATACATATATATGTATATATATATATATGTACAATCCATCCTAGATCCCCATGTTTTGTGTCCCAAGACGAGAGTCTCGTCTTACTACGCACGGATGGGGCGGGTGGGCCCCAGGGCGAGAGCCTTGTCTTGCTGTGCACGGATGGGGCGGGCGAATTCCAGGGCAAACTACATGGGATGCGCACGCATTGCACGGCTCACAGGACGACGATCGAAAGAACGAGGATTAAAGCCCCAGGCTCGCGTATGACGTCACTCCGCTGGGCCACCCAGCAGCCCTCGAAAGTGGTGACGGTTTCGCAAATCGCAGCCCCCCAAGGATGGCGAGGTCCAATATGAATCCGAATATGTCCCCACTCCGCTGGGCCCTCCAGCAGCCCTCGAAAGTGGCGGCAGTTTCGCAGATCGCAGCCCTTCGGGGATGGCGAAGTCGAGCCTGAGTCTGCGTAGGACCCACTCCGCTGACCCCCCAGCAGCCATCGAAAGTGGCGACGGTTTCGCAAATCGCAGTCCCCCAGGAATGGCGAGGTCGAATCTGAGTACCCCACTCCGCTGCCCCCCCCCCCCCAGCAGCCCTCGAAACTGGCGACAATTTCGCATATCGCAGCCCCCCCCCCCCCAGCGATGGCGATGTCTAATCTGAGTCCCCGTGGGGGCTCACTCCGCTGGTCACCCCAGCAGCCCTCGGAAGTGGCGACAATTTCGCAGATCGCAGCCCCCCAGAGATGGCGATGTCTAATCTGAGTCCCCGTGGGTGCCTCACTCCGCGGGGCCCCCCAGCAGCCCTCGAAAGCGGCGACGGTTTCACATCACAGATCGCAGCCCCCCAGGGATGGCGAGATCTAATCTGAGTCCCTGTGGTGCCTCACTCCGCTGGGCCCACCAGCAGCCATCGAAAGTGGCGACAGTTTCACCAATCGCAGCCCCCCCCCAGGAATGGCGAGGTCTAATCGGAGTCCCCGTCCCCGTGGTGCCTCACTCCGCTGGACCCACCAGCAGTCCTCGAAAGTGGCGACAGTTTCACCAATCGCAGCCCCCACAGATGGCGAGGTCTAATCTGAATCCCCGTGGTGCCTCACTCCGCCGGACCGACCAGCAGCCCTCGAAAGTGGCGACAGTTTCACAGATCGCAGCCACCCCCAGAGATGGCGAGGTCTAATCTGAGTCCGCGTGGTGCCTCACTCCGCTGGACCCACCAGCAGCCCTCGAAAGAAAGTGGCGACACTTTCACAGATCGCAGCCCCCACAGATGGCGAGGTCAAATCTGAATCCCCGTGGTGCCTCACTCCGCTGGACCCACCAGCAGCCATCGAAAGTGGCGACGGTTTCACAGATCGCAGCCCCCCCAGGGATGGCGAGGTCTAATCTGAATCCCCGTGGTGCCTCACTCCGCTGGACCCACCAGCAGCCCTCGAAAGTGGCGACACTTTCACAGATCGCAGCCCCCCACAGATGGCGAGGTCTAATCTGAATCCCCGTGGGGCCTTACTCCGCTGGACCCACCAGCAGCCCTCGAAAGTGGCGACGGTTTCACAGATCGCAGCCCCCCCCCCCAAAGATGGCGAGGTCTAATCTGAATCCCCGTGGTGCCTCACTCCGCTGGACCCACCAGCAGCCATCGAAAGTGGCGACAGTTTCACAGATCGCAGCCACCCCCATAGATGGCGAGGTCTAATCTGAGTCCCCGTGGTGCCTCACTCCGCTGGACCCACCAGCAGACCTCGAAAGTGGCGACAGTTTCACAGATCGCAGCCCCCCAGCGATGGCGAGGTCTAATCTGAGTCCCCGTAAGGCGTCACTCCGCTGAACCCCCCAGCAGCCCTCGAAAGTGGCGACAGTTTCACAGATCGCAGCCCCCCAGGGATGCAAGAGAAAAGAGGAGGAGAAGGAGAAGGGAGGAGAGGAGGGGGACGGGAAGGCGGAGGGAAGACGCGACCGCAGTGCTTTATTCAAAACGAGTACCCAACGCAGGAGGGTTGGGAAAAAACACATGGTTTCGCAGCACTGATTGGCTACAAAAACTTCCGCGCGAGCTCTTGCGAAATCTTAAGAAACCAATAGGTTTTTCAATATTTTCACAAAATGCTATCAAACGGGCTTCGCGCGCGCATGTCGAAATCTGTCGAACGCCCTTGCGCGTGTGCCGTCGCGAGAATCCTCTGCAAAAAACGGGACGAAGTGCAGACGCGCGCGTGGTCGCGCGCGTACGCCGAAATCCTTCAAAACCCATCGGTTTCGGAAGGATTTCGAAATCGCGCGTCCAAAAAACATACAAAAACCCAAGGTTTCGCAACACGGATTTTCAACAAAAGCGTGCGCGCTCGCTCTTGCGTCGTCGTCGTCGTCGTCGTCGCCGTCCTCCCTCCTCCCGCGTCGTTGTCGTCGTCGTCGTCGCCTACGTCGTCCTCTGTCTTTCCTCGTGTTCGTCGTCGTCGTCCTCTTTGGCGTCGTGGTCGTTTCCGTCGTCGTTGTCGCCGTGGTCGTCCTTCCTCCTCCTCCCTCGTCGTCGTCGTCGTCCGTCGTCGGCGTCTCGTCGTCGTCCCTTCTATTTCGTCGCCGTCGTCGTCGTCGTCGTTGTCGTCGTCGTCTTCCCTCCTCCCTCGTCGTTGTCGTCGTCGGCGTCGCCGTCCTTCCTCCTTCTTCGTCGTTCGCGTCGTCGCCGTCCTCCCTCCTCCCTCGTCGTTGTCGTCGTGTCGTTGTCGCCGTCGTCGTCCTCCTCCTCCCTCGTCGTCGTCTTCGTTTGCGACGTCGTCGTCGTCTTCGTCGTCGTCGTCGGCGTCGGCGTCGTCGTCGTCGTCGTCGTCGCCGCCGTCGTCGTCGTCGTCGTCGTCGTCGTCGGCGTCGTTGACGTCGTCGTCGTCGTCGGCGTCGTCGTTGTCGTCGTCGTCGGCGTCGTCATCGTCGTCGTCGTTGTCATCGTCGTCGTCGTCGTCGGCGTCGTCGTCGTCGTCGTCGTCGTCGTCGTCGTCGTCGTCGTCGTCGTTGTCGGCGTCGTCGAAGTCGTTGGAGACGTCGTCGGTGTCGTCGTAGTCGTTGTCGGCGGCGTCGTCGTCGTCGTTGTCGCTGTCGTCGTCGGCGTCGCTGTCGTTGGCAAGTGCCATTTGGTACCCACCGTCACGGTCTTAAGAGATTTTGCGAACCAAGTTGCGGGTGGGTGGGTGGGATGTTTGCGCGAGCAGTGGAGTGGTCAAGCGCGGTGCACGGTAGTCAATTGCACCACGTAGAATGCACCACATGGGTTGCACCACGTAGATCGCACCACACCCATCGCACAACATAGATCCTCCTTTCTAAAAAAAGAATAGGCTCTACCCCCCCCCCGGACTTATCGCTTCCCCCTGGGATAATTTATTTCCCATACACACACATATATATATGTATATATATATGTGTATATATATATATATATATATATATATATATATATATTCGCTGCACACTCGTCCATCCTAAATATGAAATCGTACCATCCCAGCCAGGCCGGGTTCCACCCCTTGAGGTTCCCTTGTAAAAAACACTGTGCGGTGACATTTTTGCTCTAGCATAACACTTTTTGTTCGCAAATCCCTTGCAACAAATGGGACGAAGTGCGCACGCGCGCGTCGTCGCGCGCGCATGCCGAAATCCTTCAAAAACCTTCCGTGCTGGAAGGATTTCGCACTCGAGTTTCCCAAAAACATACCAAAACACATGGTTTCGCAACACTGATGTGCTAAACAAGCTTCCGCGCGAGCTCTTGCGAAATCTTAAGGAAACCATAGGTTTTTCAAGATTTTCACACAATGCTACCAAACGGGTTTCGCGCGCGCATGTCGAAATCTGTCGAACGCCCTTGCGCGTGTGCCGTCGCGAGAATCCTCGGCAAAAAACGAGACGAAGTGCAGACGCGCGCGTCGTCGCGGGCGTATGCGGAAAACTCTCAAAACCCATCGGTTTCGGAAGGATTTCAAAATCGCGCGTCCAAAAAACTTACACAAACCCAAGGTTTCGCAACACGGACTTTCAACAAAAGTGTGCGCGTGCGCGCTCTTGCGTCGTCGTCGTCGTCGTCGTCGTCTTCGCCGTCCTCCCTCCTCCCGCGTCGTCGTCGTCGTCGTCGCCTACGTCATCCTCTGTCTTTTCTCGTGTTCGTCGTCGTCGTCCTCTTTGGCGTCGTGGTCGTTTCCGTCGTCGTTGTCGCCGTGGTCGTCCTTCCTCCTCCTCCCACGTCGTCGTCGTCGTCCGTCGTCGGCGTCTCGTCGTCGTCCCTCCTATTTCGTCGCCGTCGTCGTCGTTGTCGTCGTCGTCTTCTGTCCTCCATCGTCGTTGTCGTCGTCAGCGTCGCCGTCCTTCCTCCTTCGTCGTCGTTCGCGTCGTCGCCGTCTTCCCTCCTCCCTCGTCGTTGTCGTCGTTGTCGTCGTTGTCGCCGTCGTCGTCCTTCCTCCTCCCTCGTCGTCGCCTTCGTTGGCGTCGTCGTCGTCGTCTTCGTCGTCGTCGGTGTCGTTGTCGTCGCCGAAGTCGTCGGAGACGTCGTCGGTGTCGTCCTAGTCGTTGTCGCCGGTGTCGTCGTAGTCGGATTAACAAGTTTTGCAAACCAAGTTGCGGGTGGGTGGGTGGGATGTTTGCGCGAGCAGTGGAGATGACGAGTTCAAGTTCAGCAGAGTGGATTGCACCACGCAGATTGCACGCATGAGTTCTCCTTTGCCCCCCCCTGGGTTTATCGGTGCACTTTTCTGTGCTACAATTTACATACGATTCTGCCCCATCGTCCATCCCAAATATAAACTCGTACCATCCCAGCCCAGCTGTTGTCGACCCCCCCCGCCATCCTCTGCAACAAAAGTACTATGCACGCGCACTCGTTTGTCGAAAATTATCAATGTCCAGGAACTCCTTTTTTAAAAACAACAACAAAACAAACAAACACGAAACGAAGTGCACACGCGCGCGCCGTCGCGCGCGCATGCCAGAATCCTTCAAAAACTCTCGGACCCAAAAGGAAGTAAACATCGAATGTTCAAACAACCATATAAAACATGGTTCCGAAACGCGGAAGTTCAAACACAAAAGCAAACAAAAAAACGCGCGCGTTCGCGCTCTTGCGAATCATTCGGGGGACCATGGGGTTTCAACATGTCCAGAAAAATAATACCAAACGGGCTTCGCGCGCGCACGTCGACACCGTTCGAACGCCTTTGCGCGCGTGCCGACGCGCGAATCCTTTGCACCAAATTGGACGAAGTGCACATGCGCGCGTCGTCGTCGCGCGCATGCCGGCGTCCTTTAAAAACCTTCGGATTCGAAACGGTTGCAAAACCGAGTGCCCCAAAAACAATTAAACTTACACGGTTTCGTGACATCCGTTTTCAAGAAAACGTGTGCTCGCGATCCTGCGAATCCTTTGAACAAGCAACGCAGGTAATCCGACATGTTCATGGAATTCTACCATACGGGCCTCTGGCGCCGCATGCCGAAATCATTCGCGCGCCCTTGCGTGCGTGCTGGGGGGGGAAGGGGGGCATGACCCGTGTCAAATAATACCATGCGGGCCACTCTCGCGCGTCGGCCGCGCGCGCATGTCGAACTCCTCCAAAACCTTCATCACCGACGCGAGGGCACCGTCATCGTCGACGGCGTGATCAGCATGTGCGCCCGCACTGGCCGCGCCGTCGTCGTCGTCAACATCGTCACCAACATCCCTACGATCATCATCGTGTCTACCGTGGGCGACGTTGCCATGATACCGCGCCCGCCCAAGTCGCCGACTCGCACTGAAATGCCCGCTGGGATGTTCCCAATGGTCAGCGCCACCGCGGCCGCGTCGGCGGCGCAAAACAAGCTGGCCGCTGTGCGCGCGTGCTACGGTTGGCGCGGCCGCAGGGATGCACAAACCAACGCCAAGCATGCATCGCAATCGCCACCGGATGGGTTTTGCAAACCAAGTTGTGGGTGGGTGGGCGGGATGTTTGAAAGAGCATGGGATGTGCCAACTCATGAGAAAAAAACATTTCACCCCATCGAAGCACCACATAATTAGGTTGCACAACGTAGATGAGTAGGAACCCACGGTGCGGGGTCAAAGCTGGCAGTCTTATGTTACACACACATATATATATACATATGTATGTATGTTTGTGTATATATATATATATATATATGCATTATGTATAAACACGTGCGTTGCTGTTGCGCGGGAGATAATTCAACCCAGCCCCACGCGCAGCAAAAGGCGAACAAAGTATACTACAAACTGTCAGGAAACAGATGCACAACTGACATACTATACACAGGAAATACACAAGGCAAACTGCGACGGGGGACGGCCCTGGCGCGCGGAGCGCGCCAGGGGCGGCGCCAGAGGCACCGCCTGGGGGTCCCCAGCGCAAATCCAAGAAATCATTGTGAAGAGCCAAACTGTTTATGTGTATGCGGAATTTCGCTCTTCGACGATGGGTAGCGGGGGAGGAAGAAGAGGAGGAGGAGGAGGAGGAGAAGGAGGAAAAGGAGGGGGAGGAGGAGGAGGAGGACGAGCTACCTTTCCCTCTTCCGACCCTCCGTGCCCACTTCGCGATCGCACCCGAATCTCCTGCCGACGGTCATTGCCTCCGCGCACGCCGCCCCGAGCCGGCTCTTCACCGCGTCCCGGACCGCCTCCTCGGCGAGGCAGGCCGCGCCCGCCTGCCGGCGGCCGGAACGCTCGGGCCGCGGGGGCGGCCGGGAGGCAGCTCGGAACCCGCCAGAACGGAGCTGGGAGACGAGGCCAAGACGAGGATCAACTCTGCCTGGACGGTTCCTCCCGGGGCCGTAGGCGACCCGAGGAGCAGGAGGAGGATGAGGAGGAGGAGCAGGAGGGGGAGGATGAGGAGGAAGAGGAGGGGGAGGGGGAGGAGGGGGAGGAGGAGGAGGAGGAGGAGGAGGAGGAGGAGGAGGAGGAGGAGGAGGAGGAGGAGGAGGAGGAGGAGGATTTTCCCAACATCAACCATGAGGATGAAACGCAGCCGACAGGCGACAGCCTGGCAAACAGCCTGGCCCGAGACTGATGGCAGCGAAAAGAGCGAGGCTGCAGAGTTAAATTGCGGCCTCTTGCAACTCATCCAGGAAATCGACGAAATGAACAGTTGCCGACGTCCTGGGATGCTTGCCACGCACGATGCTGTTCCAACTCGACCGACGACCCCGCATCCTGCGATCGGACAGCGGCAGGATGAGGGGAGGGCAACGTTTGCCCAAATCCGTCACCCTACCGCCAGTGCTGTAAGACTTGCAGCGCGTGCATAACGCTATCAATGACCCGTCTGAACAATCAAATGCGGCCATTATGTGGCCCAGCTCCTTCAGAGTCTGGGCGCTCAAACCCCGCAGACCACCAGGGCCAGAACAAGGCCCCGCAGGGGGACGCTCCAGGCGCGACCCCCTGAGACAGACACTGCACTGCCAAGATCTCCCAATCTTGGCCCAGCTATGATTTACCTTCGGCTGGCGGCTGGCTCCACCATCAGGTTTTTCCCATGGCGCGCCTTGGAGGTTCAATCTTGGCCACAGCGGAAGAACGTGCGCGGCCAACTTCGCGGCCTGCTTCGCAATAGTTATCTTCCGCTGCACGGCAGACTCTTCCTCCTCCGACGGCTTGGAACGCTGATCGCGTCCTAAATTGGCCAAGCGGTCAGCGTGCCAGTTGCCAAGACGCAGTCTGTATTCCGCCTCGGGCAAATTGACATCTAATTCTTGGTGCGCGCGCACCTTGATCACATCGCTGACGTGTTGCTTCCTACCCGACTGAGCCTGAAGCATGAAACCCGCATGGGCTCGCTTGTGACACAAAAGCAAGCGGCCTGGCCAGATGCCAGTGATTAGCGACCGACTGACAAGCCGAATGGATCGAGGTGGGGCCCACCAACATATACATCATGGCCGCGAAAATGCGGTACTCGGCCCCCTGGGGCGTTTGGGGCCAGGGGGCCCACAACGGGGCATACAGCGCAGCCCCTAAAGAGCCGTCGGGTTGCATAACCACCCCTCCAAAGCCGGTCCTGGAAAGCTCACGACTTGGGCGTCTGTAGCACGACCCGTCTATAAACAGGTCCCCCGAAAGCTCTAAGCCGCCTGAACAATCAGACCCCCCAGGAGCATGACTCTCAAAAATAACGCCGCCGTCGGTCAGAGGTCGAGGATGGTAATCCCCGGGGTGCTGGAACAGGCCGCGGGAAAAGAGCAGGACATCCTCGGTGGAAGTCGCATCCACCACCTCGGTGCAGAACTTCCGATGCTTCTCCCCTAGAACCTCATCTCTCTCCCCCTGGCAGCTCTTGCAAAGCCACAGACGGTGAAGAAGAGTGTCCTCGGCCTCTCCGCAGCGCTCACAGATGACGCTGTCTACTTTCCAGCCGAAGGTCTGCGCGCGCACCGGCGTCCAGACGGCATTGGTGGCCACGCTCCTGATGCAGCCTTTCTGCAAGGGCGTGAATTTGAACGACGAACCAGCCGTCTTCATGATATCAAAGCAGACCCTGCCTTTGATCCCCTCCTTTCTGGCTACGTCACAACCTGTTTCAACAAGATCCCGACCAGCTTGGGAGCCGTGAGGGTGAGCGAGATCGAGTTGCCGAAATCGTCAGTGAATGCTGCGAACGACTCCATCTTCCAGCCGATCCGTGAAAGCGAAAGGCGTAACGCTGTCATGGGACCTGCTACTTTCCTCCAGGTGACCGATCGACTCTGTCGAAAAGCTGCCTCCCATCCTGCCCGGAGGTCTTGCCAGGAAAGCGACCCGTCGAACAAACCAGTATGCCTAAACCAGATCTCCTGGGCGTACCGAGCCGCGACTCCCACTGATCCAAACCACGCTGGGTCGTCTTCTAAGATCATCAGTCCCGAAATCGATCTCATCCCCGCCGATGCTTTGATAGTCGATGCGGCCCCCCTTCGGACCTGCAACAATTCATGATCCGACATCCCAAAGACAGTGCAGCCGTAAAACGCCCCGGGCATAGGGCCACTGGCGCAGATTCGCATGGTACGCTTACCGGTAAAAGACCTTTGCTTCAGGAGCCGCTTGCCTTTCTTCTTGAACAGGGCCATGCGTAATCCAAACTTTGCCAACCTACCTGCTTGTCGCCTGGCCCGCCCAGCAGTGGCATCGACCCCGAGGTTCGTCGTGACCGTGAGGTGTGGCCCCGCAAGGGCCCCGAGGTGGTCCTGGAGGGCCTCAGCTACTGCTGGGCTGGATGAGATCATTGCGATCTTACATTCAGCTATATTCGCCTCCATGTCGGCCGTGATGACATGGTGCAGCGCATCTGCAGCAGCACAAAGGTCACTTATAACTTGAGCGGGCGTACCGACCGACGTGAGTGTGTCATCGTCAATAGATAAATCAAGTGCCGTAGTATGCCGTATCGTAGCCATGACCTTGTCGCATGCATCAATTGAGTAAATGCGCACGTGTGCATTCGCAGACGAGCAGCCGGCCACAACCCCTTCTGATGACAAACCAAGGTCCGTTAATACAACCTGCCATAGAAACATAACGCGGAGACCGATACGCCGCCAACGTCAGGTATAATATAGCCGGTGGGAACCCGTGTCGAAGGGCCTGATCTTCGAGTCGAGACAAATTAAAGAGCTCATAGTATTTGTGCATGTCCCACAAAAAAGCCGAAGGAGGAGGGGGAGGAGAAAGAGGGTGAGGGTGAGGGCAGTAGGGAACGCGTCAGTCGGGCCGACGCGCCCCGCCCGCGGCGCCCGCGCCCCTCGCTCAGCGGTTGCCGCCCTCGGCGGCCCGCGGACCACGGGGCAGGCTCAGCGCGGCGGCGTCAGCCCGCGCCCGCTTGGCTGGCGGGCTGCCGGCGGGCGCCCAGCGGGCGGCCGACGGCGGCCAGCTGCAGGGGCGGGGGCCACGGCCCGCTGGCACAGCAGCCGCCACACGGCGCTGCCGCTTCGCCTCCTGGCCGATCTCGCCCTCCATGGCGGCGTCGCCTCGGCCTCGAACGGCGCGAAGCAGGAAGGCAACCTTGTCGCTGAGACTCGCATCCGCAGGAAGACCACGAGGAGGCGAGGAAGACGTCGCCCCCGTGGCGCTCCCCGCCTCCTTTTCCCGCTCCTCTCTCCCGCAATTTATCACAGGGTGCGGGCAACTGTCTGACCCAGCCGAAGGACCTGGGGATGCCGCCCCCAGCGGGACTGGCCCCCCCAGGTCTGCCGCCTCGAGGACCGAGTCGCCCAGCGCGTCCCCGATCGCGTCGTCCCGTGCGGAGTGGTCCCCCACACAGGTGGCGTCGTCCAGCACCTCGCACCCCTTCACCGCGTCAGTGTCGGCGAGGGCCCTTGACGAGAGCTGCTTCAGGATCAGCGGTTCGCTCTGAGCTAGGCCGATCTCCTTCACGGACCGACTCGCAGCACCAGCGCCTTCACGTATCTCCTCCCTGTTCGTGCCGTCCAGCTCGTGGTGGACAGCTGACTCCTCTAGGCCTGTCATCACGGCTGAGTCGCTCTTCACAACAACATCTCGCTCGATATCGGTGGTGTGGGGCCTTGGCGAGAGCCGCTTTGGGATCAGCGGTTCGCACGAGGTTAGGCCGATCTCCCGCGCGGATCGGCCCGCAGCACCCACACCTCCTCGAACTGCATCGCCTATCATGGCATCGTCGTCAAACAGGTGGTGGACCGCCCCGTCCAGCATGTCAACGGCCTCCGTGTCCCTCGCCTGCGGAGCGGCTGACTTCTCCTTGATTGCTGCCTCGTAGACCGCGTCGCTCGTCACAACAACCTTCTGCTCAGTGTCGACGGCGTGGGGCCTTGGCGAGATCCGCTCTGGGGTCAGCGGTTCGCACGAAGCTAGGCCGATCTCTCGCACAAGTCGACCCGCAGCACCCGCGCCTTCACGAAGAGCATCTCCATCCGCGTCGTCCGTCACGTAGTGGGCTGCCTCGTCTGGCTTGCCGTGGGCCCCCGCGACCAGCGCAGGGGGGGCCAGGTCTCCTCGTCGCTCTGCAGCCCGTGCAGCAGCTCGTGCAGCACGGCGTCGACGGGCCAGCAACCTCGGACCTATCTCCAGCTCGGCTTCCTTCCTGACGAACCTGCGCTGCCCACTGACCTTCGGCCAAAGGCCTCGTGCCAGCCGCTGGAGGTAGTCACGACCAGCCCGCGAGGGGCGACCCAGGCATCTGGCCCTCAGGCCTAGGCCCACCATGCGACCCGCTGCGGCCACGAAACAGCCGCAGCAGACACAGAACCACACGTCCAGGCGCTCGTGGAGTCGCAGAAGATGGGAAGCATGAGGTCGACCTCCTCCGATGTGCGGGCGGCCCTCCCGCAGCATGAGTGTGGCGGGCCCATCGCGCAGCAACCCTGGGCAACGAGATGCCATCCACAGCGATCGCACGGAACGGGAGGCCGAACACCTGCATCTCAAGCAACTGCCTCGGCTGCCCAACGCATGCGACGAGCCGAAGGCCTCCACCATGCTGGGCGCAGGTGGGACCTGCCGCCGTCGCCTCGCACGCCGCACCGCTGGCGTGAACTCGGCCTCGGCGCTCAGCGCGTCCAGGGTAGCTCGTAGTAGGCGCCGTCTGACCACCAGCGCCATCTGCTCGGTCTGGAGCACCCGTCCTCTCTCGGTAGCGGGGAGGCGAGCCAGCTCAGCAGCTTCACCTGCGAGGACGTCGGCGACCGCGTTGCCC